TGCAACTCAGATCTAGGTCAGCGTCGATGGCAAGAGCTGCGCAGGATAACGACCGCAGATCACAAGACATGGTTATGAGGCCACCCCTAAAGGGAGTGTCGGTCCCTATCCCAACTCCGGGACCCCCACTAAACCTCAAGGATCAGGAAGCGGCTATTACAGCACAGATGGAAACGCTAGCAGTAAGGCGTAGGGAGATACGTTCCCAGAAAAATAGAGGTGCTACGGAAGAGAATGCCCCACCCCAAAAAAAACCTAAGAGGGAAAAGCCACGCGTGATCAGCAATGTACAAATTGCCCCTCCCAAAGCAACCACTATGGTAGCGGGTGAAGTTGCGAGCGGGTCTGCATGGCCGTCTATTGAAGAAGGAGCCCACACTAAAGCGCAATGGACAACAATGCAATCCAGGAAGCATAAATCTAGAGAGGAGAAGAAGAAGAGGGACCAGTCACGTAGTTCAAACAGGAATCGTTCGGCTACTAAACAATCGTCCCAGAAGCAGGTTAAGTCTGGAGACAAAAAGGGAAGTTCCAATAAAACCCCCAAAAAGCGGAAGCCTCCTAAAACGGCGGAAGTTGCCATCCGATGTACAACAGAAGGCTTTTCGTACGCACAAGCCATAAGGCATATCAGGAAGGAGATAAACCTACCTAATTTAGGAATCGAGGAGACAAAGATCAGGCATACCACGAATGGCAGCGTGCTCATTGAAGGCGGGAAGGAAGGACACAAGAAGGCGGATCTTCTTAGGGATAAGCTACAAGACGCCCTAGGCCCACATGCGACCATCACACGTCTCATGATTAGAGGTGATCTCCGTATAGTGGGGTTGGATGACTCCATCTCATCAGGAGAAATTGAAGAGAGACTGGCAGAAATAGATGGCTGCAAAATCGGAGATATCAAGATTGGACAACTAAGACCAATGAACAACGGTCTATTTATGGCTTGGGCGCAATGCCCATTGGCTACCGCTATCAAAGCCTCCGCTAGCGGTAAGATAAAGATAGGTTGGACCGTGGCAAGGATTGAGCTCCTTAAAGCCCGCCCGGTACAGTGCTTCCGCTGTTGGGAACAGGGACACTTGAAGAGTAAGTGCACCTCACTTATTGACCGCTCCAAGCTGTGTTATAGGTGTGGCGAGGAAGGACATCCTGCACGTATGCGCAGGAGGGAATTTAAGTGCGCCCTATGTGCCTCACAGGGCAAGGACGCCCGACATAGAGTTGGATCAGGACTGTGTAAGCCTGACCCAGGCCCCAAAGCAAATGAGGTGGAACAGTCAGGAAGGGACGACAACATGGAAGTTGTAAATGGCTAAGATCCTACAAAACAACCTCAATAGGAGTAGGGCGGCCCAGGACTTCCTCTCTCAGTACGCCACGGAGCACGAAGTTGGAATATGTATATTGTCTGAACCATATAGAATTCCAAACAATTCACAATGGTTTGGTAGCACTAACAAGCTAGCAGCTATATGGTGGAGGCCTCAGACCATGAACAGTGCTGGAACTTTAATATCCAGAGGTCAACATTATGTGGCAGCCCGCTTTAAGGAATATAACATAATATCGTGTTATATATCCCCAAACTCGACAAGGGCTAAATTCCTGGAGTTCTTGGATGAGCTAGGAGAAGCAGTTAGGCTCATAGAAAGGAGGACAATCATTGCTGGAGACTTCAATTCAAAGTCAATACTGTGGGGATCACGAAGTACTGATGCCAAAGGTGAAGCAGTGGAGGAATGGGCTGCGGAATGCGATTTTAGATTGATGAACCGCGGAAATACACCAACATGCATAAGAGTCCAAGGATCTTCTATTATTGACTTAACCTAGATTACACCAGACTTGGCAAATAGAATACAGGATTGGAGAGTCAGTGAAAAGATGAAGAATCTTTCTGATCACGCGTACATTTTCATGCGAGTCGGTGGAAGAATCAGAAGGAGGACAGACCCAATGCTGGCTGGCCCACGCTGGAACTGGCGCAAGGCTGACGTAGATAAATTCATCGCGGCACTGATATGGCGCTGTACGGCAGATGAGCTCATCACTAAGGATACGCACGCGGAGCATTTTGAGCACTGGACTCGTATGGCGCTTAAGGAGGCATGCGACACCGCTACAAAAAGGAGTAAACCCCCTGGCCAAAGCAGACAAGTGTACTGGTGGAATGAAGACATCTCGGACCTTAGGAAAGAATGTATAAGGAAACGTAGAGCTTGGATGCGCAGCAAGAGGAGACGACACTCGTCACAAGAGGATCTGGATAGATACGAGGGCGAGTACAGGCAGGCAAGGAGAACCCTTAGGACGGAAATAAGCAAGGTTAAATCAACGGCGTGGCAGGAGCTCATAGCCACCATAGAGGAGGACCCGTGGGGCCTGCCGTACAAGATAGTGCTCAATAAGCTGAGGCACTCCTCACCCAGCACCACAGAAACGTTGGATAGGGACTCAAGAACCTCCCTTATTGAGTCATTGTTCCCTCATGCAGGAAATAGCAACCCAAGCAACTGGGCTGAATTTCGCTGGAACGAACAATGGGATGTTATTCCATCTGAGATCAAGAAAACCTTAAAAGGGAAAGGCGGCGGAACCACGGCACCAGAAACTGATGGCATAAAAACCAAGATGCTTAGAACCCTGCCAGAAGAAATGATGGACAAAATGGTGGCCTGCTTCACTACCTGTTTAAAAGATGGTGTTTTTCCTGCAGAGTGGAAGCGCGCATGGCTCGTTCTTATCCCAAAAGGAGGTGAATTGCTGCCAGGAATACCTAAAGCCAGACCGATCTGTCTGTTAAGCAAATTAGGCAAAGCTCTGGAACGCATCATAGTCGGCAGGTTGAAGGAATGGATGTCTGATAACCAAGAAGCTCAACTGTCCCAAGACCAGTATGGCTTCCAAGAGAATAGGTCTACATGCGATGCTTTAATTAGAGTTAAGAGTACAATTGAGCAAGCAACACAGTCGGACGGTTATGTAGTGGCAGTCAGCTTGGATATTAAAAACGCCTTCAATTCGATATCATGGGGCGTTATCAGACAAGCTCTGGAAGAGAAGAGATTCCCGGAATATCTGAACAGTAATATAGATAATTACCTCAGTGATAGGACGATAGAATATTCCATTGGCGACATGATTGAGAAGAGAGCTTATTGAGTCATTGTTCCCTCATGCAGGAAATAGCAACCCAAGCAACTGGGCTGAATTTCGCTGGAACGAACAATGGGATGTTATTCCATCTGAGATCAAGAAAACCTTAAAAGGGAAAGGCGGCGGAACCACGGCACCAGAAACTGATGGCATAAAAACCAAGATGCTTAGAACCCTGCCAGAAGAAATGATGGACAAAATGGTGGCCTGCTTCACTACCTGTTTAAAAGATGGTGTTTTTCCTGCAGAGTGGAAGCGCGCATGGCTCGTTCTTATCCCAAAAGGAGGTGAATTGCTGCCAGGAATACCTAAAGCCAGACCGATCTGTCTGTTAAGCAAATTAGGCAAAGCTCTGGAACGCATCATAGTCGGCAGGTTGAAGGAATGGATGTCTGATAACCAAGAAGCTCAACTGTCCCAAGACCAGTATGGCTTCCAAGAGAATAGGTCTACATGCGATGCTTTAATTAGAGTTAAGAGTACAATTGAGCAAGCAACACAGTCGGACGGTTATGTAGTGGCAGTCAGCTTGGATATTAAAAACGCCTTCAATTCGATATCATGGGGCGTTATCAGACAAGCTCTGGAAGAGAAGGGATTCCCGGAATATCTGAACTATATAGATAATTACCTCAGTGATAGGACGATAGAATATTCCATTGGCGACATGATTGAGAAGAGAGCAATGATGGCAGGAGTCCCACAGGGCTCGGTCCTTGGCCCAACCCTGTGGAACATAGCCTACAATGGGTGACACCCGTTTGGACGCGGAACGATTGGACACCGCTCGATTGGACACCGCACAATTGGACACGCTCACTGCACGATTGGACACTGCACGATTGGACACCGCACGATTGGACACCGCACAATGGGACACGCACACTGC